AAACTGAATCGCAGGGAAAGGGCTGAAATTCAAAAACTTTGGGACTTTAGCGCTTCAAACGCACAAAATTCAATCCCAGAACGACCATAAAACGCGGAGAATTTTCGAAATTTGAAGAACGCAAATCCAAGAAGTTGAATTTCAGCGGAACGGCTTAAAGTCAAAAAGTTTCGGGATCTTAGCCCTTGACTTCAAACGCACGAGGCCCAATCCTCAAACGATGGCAAAACGTGGAAAATTTTCGAAATTTGAGAACGCATATCGCTTACATCTTTGCCGTGCTTAGTTTCTTATTTTGGGGAGGTGGGGCATCCTAGTGGGAGGGATGTTATCGGACGCTCCAAGCTAGTATTAAGCTATATTGTTGACCTATCTTATCAATCTATCTTCAAACTCTATCTTATCAACCTATAGGAATCACCCCACTGATCACCGCCACAAAACTCCCCGCCTACCCCACCGGCAGCGTGTCAGCTTCTTCCGCGAAGCTTGTGGAGGCTAGTAAAGTTAAGCGACTTAGAAAACTCGCCATGGTCTGTCCCTCCTCTATTTCGAAAGTGAGCGCTTACCTCGTCAGAGTTTGCAGGACAGAAGGCGACACTCATACTTTTCACTCAAGCACTTTTCACATCATTCAAATACTATTCTAAAGATGAAAGGTATTTTTGTTACCTTATCACTAAGCGTGCAGCGTTTCCACAATGGTTTTCCGGTCAGCATCATGAAGAAGCACACACCCACACAAAAGACGTCGACAGGTGCTACTCGATAACCTGGCTTCTGTGGCACATCGGGTCCCTGACTCTGAGCTGAGTGTTGGTGATACAATTCTGGCGGTCGATAGAGGTCCTTGCCGACGCTCGCAGTGTAGAAGGCGTCTTCCCACTCTGGTCTACAAGCTACTATGCCCTTGCCACTTGAGCCGTCATAGGTTCCGCCAGCGATGGAAGACAACAGGTAAGCCTTAGAAGAGGAAAGGAAACAAGAAACAAGCATGATTCTGTTGATCAACAAAATGAAAATTGTTGATATTTAAGCGCTTGAGTTAAAGAAGCTTGCTAGAATCGATCTGCGGGGCGGTCGGGGGTATAATGATCTTGTTGTAACATTTGATGTCATGTGAAGGTGATACCTCGTTCTAGTACGTCTTGTCTAACGTTATGGAGGCCTTTCAGCCTCCCTGTACCTTCTAAGTAGACATGCACTACAAAATACATGTTGTACAAGTAGTAGAAAGTGCCTATCCTACTTATCGCCATGTACAAGTATCAAAGGGTATCCATGTCCATACTCGCGGCCATAGGATATTTCCCTCTTGTTTCTGACCATGTGGAGGTGGATGCATCTCTTCTGCCTGTCAAGTCGCCCTCGAAGTCCCTAGCTGTGTTCTTCTCCCTATACAAGTTGCACGCCATGCCGAAATCCATGAGCCTAATGCATCGATCGTCTGGCTCGCCTCTCATTAGAGCTACCGCGTTTATTGCATCCCTTCCAAGGGAATCCAAATTCAAAAAAATTTCTTCTATATTTCAAATTCAAGATCAAGTGGATTCTAACTAGCCAAGGATCACGCTGAGGATGCACATGCGGTAGCCTTAATGTGAGCAGTATGTTTTCTAGCGATATGTCTCGGTGGCCTATCCCTCTTTGATGGAGCCACGACACTGCCGTGCAGATCTGCCGCATATAGGTTCTCGTTAAGTCCTCTGATATTAGAGCGCAAAACAATTCATTTCTTACGTTCATTCTCCCAACATCCTAAGAAGGAAACAGTAAAGAACGACACGGAGAAATGAATTGCTTTGAGCCTTAATGATAAGCGTTTGGCGTGTGAGACCATCTCAAAAAGCTCTCCTCGGGCGCAGGGCTCAGTGAGAACATAGACATGATGCGTGTCCATGAGCACGCCTCTGAGGGAAAGGATATATGGACACCTTTCGTGTTGAGTAAAAGAAACATTAGAGGACCTCTCCATAATTCATCTTCCTTGGAACTGCTGCACCCGTGAAGAATTATGAAATCAATTCATTCATTCACTCACTCGAACCACGTAGCAGCTACAAGAGGATTACTGAGATAAACATAGTAAGGATATGGGATATACTTTTCAGGGAACCTGTAGAAACAGCAGCCCAATCTTGGCTCCTTACCTGCCTCCCTTGCTGTTTCTACTGCGATATTCACTCTCAGCTTTTCACACTCCTGCTTAACGTTTGGGCACATTCTTCAGGGATGCAGAAGTGAAAAATGAATTAGAAGTGTAAGTGAGAACCTCAAAAATCTTTCTAGAAGCGATCTGTGACACTCCGCCTACACCTCCTACAGCTGCTGCAGGATCGAAGCTGGAACTCGAACTGCCACCTTGCTGCGAGAACGCAGAGCCTGACTGCAGTGATTGTCGTTCATGACCGTCGACGCCTACAGCGCTTGTTTGCGGATATCCTGGAGGTACAACGGCGCCAGGGACTGGATTCTCCTCTGATGGCCCCGTGGTGATGGACGCCGTGTAGGCATTTTCTTTCCCAGTCGATGTGCCAGGTTCACGAGTATTAGAAGAAGGTCTCAGTCTCAGAGAACTCAACAAAAAGTCAGTGTCCTTGTTCACGATCCTTGTTCCTCATCTTGAGAAAATCAAAATTCTAGCAATGTTCTTGAATAAAGGAACAGGAACAGCTGAAGAATCTTCTTAAGTACTTGTTACGAAGGCTACTAGCCATAAGGGTCGACTGTACATCCGTTTCTCCGCTTGCTATACTGAGTCGCTTACTTTTTGCTGGATCATCTGCTGATTCTACTTGTTCTACTTCTACAAAGGCCTTGTTATAACCAGCTGCCAGATCATTCGCAGCGCGCGGGGTTGGTGGACAATTGGTCTCATACTGTCGAACTACGTCTCTAAAAATGCAGGAACCCGCACGCGGCGACGCAGATACATCGGGACTAAAGCCGAGAACATCTGCCAGGCATTCCGCATTATCTCCGGGACCTTCGCCTTCGGGAGCTGGTGTACCTAGAGGTAGCCTTTTGGTGTTTCTGTTTCCCGTTTGTTCTGCCTTTCTCTTCATAAGGGAGAGAGGCAAAAGAAACGGAGGTAAAAACAGGTGGAACACCTTTTCAATACACTTAAATTAACCCTTAAATTTGTACTCTTCGCGCTCTTGCTTTCTCCGCCAAACATTTGCGTCATCAATGCAAACTTTTCTTCCACGTTGCGCCCAAAGCTTATGTACGTGTAAGCCCCGATTTCTATCACTGGATTCTCCCCTTCGCCCTTGTACGTATACCTTGGTCGTTGCTATGTTGACGAGAGAAAGGAGCTATATCTAATATTGAGCACATGATTGAGTAGTTGTCCATTAGATGATGACTCAGTTGTCCATTAGAAGATCATCAAAGCCTCACTAGAAGTTAGTACTGTGCCACAGTGTAGTACCTCTCTAAAACTCCATTTTTAGCTATGTGTCCGTCTGCGTTTCGTTCGTCTGTAGCCATCCGCTTCACGACCATGTTTTCACCCGTTGGCACATGCTTGTAGAGGTAGACTCGACCGAAATTCGCAATCCCAAGCTGCTTGAATATTAGATGAGGGAGAAGAAGTACTGCAGTGTGTACTTAGTCTAATTATAAGAAGGGAGTACTGACTATAAGAAGCAGCACTGCAGTCCTTTGTGCCTACTGGCTGCGTGATGGTGATCACAAGTTATACCGCTAATAAATCTAGAAGGAGGCGGAGTGGGTACAGTTCTCTTAAACTATAATTACTGCAGACGCAACATCAACGCTAAGAACTGTAAACAAGAATCCCTATTGATTCATCTTCACTACAAGCTTGTATAATAGATATTTGATAACTATCGTATAGCTATATCAAGTTTCGCATGTTCAAAACATGTGCTTCCTTTGCCCGTTAGGCTGACTTTTCTTTGCACAAAAAGACGGACACGAAACGGACTCAAGACGTTGTTCTATTTTATGCTCATGCCAATGGGACTAAACGAAGAAAGCGACAAAGAGAGAAAACGATGCAAAAAGTCGTTACATCTGTCAGCCATCTTTTTCTAACATTTATCTTTGTCAGAGTCCGTCGGTGCCTTTGTTAAATTTGGTCGTTTTTGACATGCGAAAATATTTTTTTCATGACGAGCATGCCCTGCACCTCTTGCAGCGCAGGCGTTTCCGATAAGATAACAGAAAAAATTTTTCTGTTTCGTATGAAGTGCCGAGGCTGACGCGCTGAGAGAGTCACAGCAGAAAAGACATAGACGAGCAACAGGGTGGCAGCCTTAAACCTCACCCCTCTTGTGTCTCTTTGATAACCACAAAGGGCAGCCCGCTGGCTTCCCTCTTGAAGTTGTTGCGAGGGCCATGCCCTGCGCCCTTTGCTCCTTCGAGGCCGACCCCGGCGAACACCCTTTCCTCCTTTCGTTCATTCTTGACGCATGACATTCGCCATCCGCCGGCCCGAGGGCTTTGCCATGCCCTTCGCCGCTGCGGTTTTCACCTCTTGCCCGTTGCCTTCCGCTCCGCTCTCTTGTTCTTCATCATGCTGGAAAGCGAAGAGAAGTCAGCAAAGGCCCAGCAAACACGAGCAGACAACACGCACCGAACAAAAGACACAGGGCCAGAAATGTGCTACACCCAGGGCTGCGCAAGCGGGGGCGGCAGTATGCTCCTGGTGCTCCCTTTGTTTGGCGGTGAGGCAGCTCAGATGCCGCCCGGTGCATACATCATGCCGAACACGTGGCGCCACGCTGCGCAAGCCGCGCGTATGAAAGTGCTGCGCGATGAGACACAAACAAAGCGCGGGGCGGGGAGGCTCATGGCCTCAAACAACAAGACACAAGCTCCGCGCTGTCTTCACGCGTTCCCGGGCGGGTGCGCCTGCGTCTCTACTTACGCACCTCCCCCAGCGGCGCCCACGCTCACAACACCAGAAAGCGCGCGAGGGCGGGCGCAGTGCGTGGCGCACAATCACACAGAAAACGAAGCGGCCCGCGCCGGCTGGAGTGAGTGGTTGGGGTGTCGTTTGCTTCGCTCTCTCGGTGGTTCATGTCTTCTCATTCGGTCGCCCCCCTGCGCACGCGCTGCACCTACCGGGCCGGGGGGCGCGGGGGATTTGCCGGGCTCTAAAGCAAGCCGGCTTGGCCTTCTGGTTATCTTCGCCGTTTGCCTCAGTCGTTATCTGGCCGGGTATGTATTGCGTGGCGCTGGCTCGTTTCTCCTAAAAGCCCTCCCATCTCTTGCGCCTGCCTTCTGCTCCTTCGCTTTCGTGGTTTTTGGTGGGTGCGTCCATGTTCTCACGCGCGGCCCGCCCCCGTTGGCTTGGGCTTATCTATTTGCGCTGCCTATGGCTGGGCGGCGGCGGGCTCCCCCGCCCTGCTTGCTTTGCCATCTGTGTCATCGCCCTGCCCAGCTTTTTCATCTCCCACTCCCGTCCCCAAGCCCTTGCCCTCCGCCGGTATCTGCGCCGGTGGTCTGCCCGTTTTGCGGCATTTTCAGCGCCCCCTGTGTCCTTCCCTATGGCCGTCGGCTTTCCCTGTCTTAGGTCCAGTCCTTTCGTCGTCCTTTTCTCCCCCGCCTCCTTTGTTTGTCTTGGCGTTGGCGGTCCGTGGCCCTTTTCCTCTTTTGCAGTTCGTTCTTGGGCCTGCGCGATGCGCGTCCGCCTCGTCGCTTCATTGGCCTCGGATGTTCCGCCGGCGTGGTTCGTCTTTTGCTTGTGTGGGTTTTGGCTCTTCCGTGCTATCTATAGGCTTCGCCGGGTTCTTCGACTCACACGAGACAAGGCGGGCCACCTTAATAAACTTGACAGCAGCGCAGGGATGTCGTCATCCCTGCGCTAGCCCGTGATACTTCTTACTAATAGATAATCTACTACTTACTAATAGATATTTTATACTAACTTGTTCTCTACGATAAACGGACGATTCGAAGTCCAGTCGTGCATAATATCATTTCCCAGTCTCCTGGATACTCCTTGAAACTTCGAAGATTCCCCCATGTGGACGTTAGGCATGTGAAAGCATGTAGAGTTAGAACTTGCAGAAACCCATCCCGATGAGCATCTCCATAGTACCCGCTTCCCGATCCCTTCAGAAATAACGGGGCAAAGATGTTGTCTGGAAAGATGGATTTCCTCAAGCCTTAACAAAGGGTGCAGAAGCGGATGTTCCTCTGAGCCTAACCCGTCGTAGTTTTCAGGATACAAAAATGGCGCGTGTTCATCTCCCATCACCCCGTTGTGGTCGTCTAACATCATGTTAGCATCTTGGCTAAATCCTCCTCCTGGTCCTACTCCCGCGACCTGGTGCGAAGGACCTCCTTGATGTTGGTCCGCCGCTAGACCAGGAGTAGGCCCTTCTGTAGTACCATCCATCTTTTCGTTGTTCTTTTCTTCGTCTTCTGAGTACTATAATTCTAGTACTTTCTTCATTGTGAGTTGTAGTAGAATCTTATATAATCTTGCTTCTCATACTTATGCTGGTGCTCGTTAAAATAATATTTTAGAAGATGCTAAGGCGAGGAAAAACCAACCGGTTTGTCATGCTCATCAAGATAGTACAATTTCGATAGAAAAAATGAAATAGACGCGTCATAGATAAAAAAAGAGTCTCCTAAGAGTTGCTCGAGCAGGAAACTCCTGTCCTAACAACGATTATATTTTTCATCGTTGGGAGGACTTTTTGTGTTCTATTAGTTTTACTTTTCTTACAGTGTTGGTTGTTGTCTGTACCTGCCCAATATGCTCTTCATTCGTTCCGGAGCTTTTTTCATCCTAAAATGCAAGCATGTATGATGTAAGGCTTCCAAAATATGCAACATCCACAGCCGTTCCTTCGTACGTTCGTCGGATGCAGCATATGATGTGGAAAACAAAGTACACTACACGTATAGATACACCGTCCTACCACAACACGTACAAGGACAAGGATTGTTGGTCTAGGTAGAAAAAAATGAGGTGGTCGAAATTATGGTGTCCACCAAGTTGAACATGAACTATAAAAAATACTGCTTTTAGTACTACAAGCCCGTATAGTTCTGCTCTGATGAACAATGAAGGAACCCTTATGACCTAGGACCTAGATCTATGTCTATCCTTGTCCCTTGTCCCTACGACAGAGGATCTGTCCTTTGTCCCTATAACCGATTTAGATTTAGATTGGCTTCTGCCTCACTTCTTTTTTTGTAGTCTGGAGCTGCTAGAAGAGTGGCCTCAGCCCTGCGCCTGAAGGGTGTATTCTTCAGTTCTTTTACATATTTTGTTTTTCTTAAACTGCTACCTTCACCAGCACGTCACTTCACCACCATTCCTGGACCAGCACCATATGGCACCTGATTACGTCCCCTCTTGATGACATTTACCTAATCAAGACAGCTATTTTCATTCATTCACTCATTGACGAATCACGCGGCAACCTAAGCTGCCTGATTCATCCGTTGCGACAATGCGTTTGATGTAGTAGCTACATGCATTGCAAATTTTAGAAAAAAAACTACAACACATCCCAATGACTCAATCGAAAACACCATGGAGAGCATGAGGGACGAGAAACAAGGGGCCAGGGAGGGACGAAGTTGATTGCGACAAGACCACCTGGTGTCACAAGATCATCTGCTCTATGATTGTCTAAAAACGTCAACAAAAGAGGCAGCGCAGTCAATTTTTTACATGTACTACTGACCCATACAATATGTTTTTTGCTGATCATCGTCTATTTAAGATACAACAAAGCACATCTAGCCCTTTCCAATTGTAATTGTACTAGTAGTAGTAATAGTAGTAGGAGTAGTAGTAGAGCTCCGCAGCTGCTGTATAAAATATGATAGGAGGTTCAGTCTTCAGTGAAAATTCATTCTTTCATTCAGTCACGCTACCCCCCTACGAAAAAAAAAGAGAGACTATATCTGTGATTCTTCATGATCATCAAGCGACTACATAGCAAACGACGATCGACGACAGGCAGTAAGTCGGTGCTGGAACCAAAAAAGTACCACGTAGAACACACACACAAGACCACGACGAAATTACGAGGAGCAGGACCACGAGGCACTTCTGATATGTCACCTCATGGAGGATTAATCCCTTTTTTAAAAATCCTAGGTTCATACAATTCTATCGACCTAACGGAGCCTTTATTAGTCCTCTTATCTTATTCTACTTATCTATGTAACCTTACAGATACTTCGTATGAATTTTCTCGAGGATTCAGATAATTTAAGACCTCTATTTCGTATTCAATAGAGGGCGAGTGTGTGCTGAAACAAGTAGCAGCTGTAAATACCAGATGGATCGTAACCGTGTACAGCAATTACGCCTCAGTTCTTACGACAACAACAGCTTTCCGGAGTAGTTTTGTCTGTGTGTTAGTATCTGACGACGCAAATCTATGTATTCGACAAGCTGCGTAAGGTCATTTCCCTGATGATGTTATATGTAGTATCAGGGAGGGAGGCGGTGGAGTAGGCTCTTTGGCTCTCCAAGGTTATCTATTTCCCAAGGCTCAAGGCCGAAGCCCCCCCGGTTCAACTTTTTGAGGGGGGGGCCTCTAGCCCGAGCGAGGGACTTCCCGCTTCTTGCCTGGGGCTGGACCCTGCAGAACCCCCATCCCTGAGGCCGTTGAAGCACCGAAGGCCGGGGGTGGAAGGCTTCCGAAGGTGGCAAAAGTGGCAAGGCTGGACCCCCTTGCCGTGTTGCATGTACCCTAAAAGCCTCCCATGCCGTGCTGCATGTACCCGACAGACCTCCCGCGTGCGGGCTCCTCACTGGGGGAGTTTCTTGGGGGGTGGAAGGCCTCCGAGGGCAGCAGGTGGAAAGGCTAGCTTGACTTTCGCCGTGGTGCATGCATCCGACAGAACCCAAGCAAGCACGCCTTGCCGCCCCCAACCCTCCTCGCCTTTGGTCCTCAACCCCCCGGGCGCTTGGTGGCGGCTGACGCTGCCACCAATTGTGGGGATGAGGGCCAAAGGGGCCAGGCCTCGCGACCGTGGCCGCCTTCGGCGGCCTCCTGCCCCCGAAGGCCGTCCCCCTAACAAGGTCCAAGAGCCAGGACGCCTGTAGGGTACACGCGGAAAGCCGCCAGCGGACTTCAGCCCGCCAGCCTTTTGAGGCCTTCGCCTCCGAGAATCCTTACACGTCACCACCGCGGAAAAAAGGGCGCGCCAACGCCGCCACCGCTCCATCCACAGGGGGGGCCTCCGTGGAACCCTGTTCCACCTGAGGAGCGTGACACGCGAGGGAGCATTCGCGTGACGCGTGACGGCGTGACGCGCTGAGGAGCGTGACGCGCTGAGGAGCGTGACGCAGCGTGAGATTAATAGCGAGGCGCGTGAGGGTGTGGCGCGTGCGCATGCTCTAGAGTGGCCCAACTTACGCGGAGAGGCATCAGGCTGCCCATGAATTGCCTCAGACCATATTCATAAGGCCCCCCGCGGACTTGTCTCAGGTCATAACTAAGGCCGCCAATGGATCGACGGACTTGGCTCAGATCAAAAGGCCGCCCGCAGATTTGCCGCAGGTCATAAGGCCGCCCACGCATTTGCCTCAGATCCTACGGCCGTCCACGGATTTGCCTCCGATCCTAAGGCCGTCCATGGATTTGCCTCAGACCATAAGGCCGGCCACAGATCTGCCTCAGATCTATCATAAGGCTGCCCACGGATTTGCCTCAGATCATAAGGCCGCCCACAAATTTGCCTCAGGTCATAAGGCCGCCCACGGATTTGCCTCAGGTCATAAGGTCGCCCGCTGGTTAGGTTTCGGATCCTTGTCTCCGACCATAACATAAGGCCGCCCGCGGATTTGTCTCAGATCATAAGGCCGCTGGCGGATTTGTCTCAGGTCGTGAGATCGTCCACTGATTTGCCTCAGATCATGAGGCCGCTGCCGGGCAGCGCCGTCGAGCTCAGCTATAAAGCGGGACGCGTCGCGCGCGTCACGCATAGGAGCGAGCCACTCAGTAGGGGGGAAGGGGGGGGGGTTTAGGTCTGCGGTCTACAGCGCGCTCGCCAGGTCTTCCGGGGGGCCTCCCTGTCCATCCCTGGCACATATATAATAAAAGTCTTTCTAAGCGAGTATAGGTTTCTGCACATATTAAGCTTCACAAGCATGAAATGACTCGCCTGGAAAGGGTTGGGTTTGAGAGAGTGGGATGGATATATTAAGTACTTCACAATTTTACAACTTGTTTGGCATTGTTGACGAAATTGCTTTACAACTGCTTCCGAAGAAAGGAGCATCAACGAAAAGGATCATGGATCATCATTCTTGAAGTTTTTTTCTCAAAAGAAGAATCATTGCAAGAATGTCAAAGTTGTCAATTGTTACATCTATGTGATGTACCCATTATTTCACGGGATATACTAGCACCTTTCATTGTTTTGAAAGCGTGTGCGATTGATTTGAAAGCCGTTGTTCCTTGCTTGCGGTTGACAGCATCTTCTCTCGCCAGAAATCATGTCGTGTCAGGAATCTTCACGAATTTCTCACTTTTTTTCACATCTTCAGGAGGGATCCTGACATTTCAAGCAGATGCAACTGGTATCTCGACGAAAGCGAAGAACAGGAATTCTACAACTACCTCTCGAGTCGTTTTCCGCTTCTGAAGAGGATAATATTAACCTCCACCTCCTAACGTGTTCGAGTACTAGGACGATGACTTTCATTTCTATTTTTTCAGCACCAGAAGATAAAGATTCGCAAAACTCATCACGAGGACATCTCGTTCGACAATGATATGCTTTCAACAACAGAAACACTTATACTGTATTTGAAAATTCCACTGTATTCCCTTCTTCAATTGCAATAACAGCTGTTACAGTATTTCAAGATATCACAGTATTCCCTTCTTCATCGAGAAGCCATTGTTGGCGCCATGGTGGCCACACCCTTAATACTGCTACGCCTTGAATCAAAGGAAGTGGCACCGCGCCATACTGTCGACTATCCCGCGAGGCTGCTGCGTTATCTCCTAGAAGCCATGCTCTTCCCACTGGCACGTGAGGCAAAACTCCCCGATCAACATACTTATTTTTTGGCCGTTCCTCTTGGTGGTCGCGGATTCCGCTTGTCCTCTCGGGATCATGATCTCGTCCATAATCTGTTCTAGTTTCACCTGTTCTCGTACTGCTTGCTGGACAATTCATATTTGTATCTGTATTTGTATCTGTATTTGTACTAGAAATTGTACTTGGCAATGGCATTGGCTGCACACAACTGTTCATGAAGTGTGATGTCCCACAGCCACCATCACCTCCGATTTTGACGAGGCGTTTGACAATCTTCCTATCCCAAGGTCCACTTCGGTAAGGCTCCTTCGCGATTACTAGATCTCCGACTCGTGGGCTCGCGTCCCGCATGACCACGACTATATCATCGAAGAGACGTGGGATACGAGAAAGCAAGTCCTGGGCCTTCTTTTAGCATAGGTAGGTTGTTGAATGGTGTTCGTGTTGAATGGTGTTCGATATGCCTTTCCTCCTTCGGAAAGTGGGCAAAACGAACGCTATAACAGGAGCACCTTTAATATACCCTTAATTCTTGTAGGCAGTTTTTAGAAAATTCTGATCACTGGGTTTTATGTCCTCCACCTCTACCGCAATCGCCTCTGGCGATCCTCCACCTCCAGAGAGTGTAGTATTGCCTGTTCTTGAACTTGATGACTCAGAAGTTGTTGTAAAACGGAACTCTTTCGGCGGATTGAGTAACGGCGACATGGATTCCCCGCGAACGAAGGATATGCACCCAACTTGGTCCTTGATCATTACCACTGGTGGCCCGACGCGACACGCAACTGATATTGAGCGCTGGAGACTCGTGCACCAAGAAGATGACATTTTTTTGGATGATGAAGCTACGTAGTTTCGTTGGACTGCTTTGTGTTGAATACTCACGTATCTAATAGATACAGCAGCTGCTGCCTCCTGAAGGAAAATCGGTTGTACTTGCTCTACTTTCTTACATAACCTGTTCGCCTTTAATAGGGACAAGCATCTTCACGACTGTTGGTTCTTATAAGTGTGACGACAAATAAGAAAGCCGAGAGTTGTATCCGAGAAGAAGCAGAACCACAGTAATTAGATATAACTGCTTGTGTAGTCAGCTTTTCACTTATTCTGGTGTAGGTGCTGTACCAAGAGCGGTTATTGAACAAGAGACATTAATGTCGACGACGAAGAGCCGTACCACACACGCACAGGCCCAAGATGGAAACAAGTAACATGCTCCTCCTGTTGTACGATTTGCATCTCACACTTTCGGATCAAAAGAAGCCGAACTATGCATGTGTAGTGATTTCTGGTTCATTGCTGTTGCAGAAGAGGTTCTGTAAAGCGAAAGGTTTACTACGTCTCCAGCGGACGTACGGAAGGTCTACTTCAAGTAGTTCAAGTTCTTTCAATACTATGGTATAATCAGCAGAAAATTGCAGTTGTTCATTTTAAATAGAACGACGTAAAAACGAGTAGATTCAAATTGTTTTGACGTTGTTCCTTGCGTACGGTAAATTCATGTGTAAGTTTTCCTTCGGAGGTTATGTTTTGCATTTGCTATCAAAATTTAATCTAAATACTACATCAAACCAAGTGCTTATCATGAGTGTGTTGCAGCTGCGCCTGCGAATGCTGCACCAGCAATTGTAATCTTCTCAAATGCGTGAGTCGTAATCTTTCTCAAAGCAGTTGTAATCTTTCTCTTGCTGCATGAGTCCCTCGGATCTCGTCCTCACCTTCTCACACTTCATCATGGTGATCTTCATCCGAGTGTGCTGACATATTTCCCAGGTCTACCGCGCACATTGTGATGCCAATAGAAGATGATCCGCCATCGCTCTTGGAGGCTGTTATCTTCAACCCCGTGGTCTCCTTTTCAAAAGCTGCATGGTCATCATGGCCATGTACTTCATCATGGTCGACCCTTACTGGCCGTTCTTTACGAAGCAAAATCTTCTCATCTACTACATCAGTTGTACTTCCGCCATCCACGACATGGTCCCCCTGCTTAGATGCCACCTCCTCTCTTGCCGTAGCTCTAGAGCTTGCTACATCTTCCTTACTGCTTAGTTCCTCTTTCGCATTAGCATTAGCTTCTTTTTTCTGTTTTCGGCAAACTTCTCCTGTCATGGCGAAATGCCTCCAATCGATTTCGGCCGCTTGCCGCAGATTGTATTTCTCGTTGTCGTGGATATTGTAACTGCCGACGAGGATTAGAGGAAGAAACACATCATCTTCGATCACAACGAGGAGGTTTGATTAAAGTGCCTAAACCTGAGGCAATCTACGAATAGATAAGTACTCACAAACTAAATGTAAATCTTCAAGGTAGCCTTAACATGCCACTAGTTTTCCAAATCTCTTTCGCTGCCATCCACGTAGGACTCTCGTTGAGCTTTCCGCTTGTATCGTCTTTGTTGTTAGAGCTACTGCGGTCGCATCCCTTACTAATAGAAGAGCGTCGCTGGCTCCATTTTCAAGTACTTAGAGAAAGCCCCGGGGATGACGCTGAGGATGCTTTGGCGGTAGCCTTAACGTTGATGACCGTAGCATCTGCCGTTCCCTCTTCTTCTTGTTTGGCAGTGATTTGGAGTTTCGGGAGCTCCTCATCAAGATCTGTGTCCCATGGTATACTTGAAGATGGTCGTTCACTGTTGTCCGGCTCCGGAGCCGCGCTCTCCTGCTTAGTATGCCTAATAGTTGCTCCGCTCTCCTTCGACAGGTCTCCGTCTCGGAGTGTGCGTTGCGTCGTTCGCGTTATTTAAAAGCTGTTCCTGTTGCATTCTTCAGAATATCCCTGGTGGCCTCTTTGTTCCTACTGAATAAGGGACCAGGGATGTTGGTGGATGATGCAATGTGGAAATCCCTAAGTTATTTTGCTCATTCTCCTTGCTGCAAACGCGTCAGTGATCGTCTTCTGCACGACCGCTAATGCCTGCTCCGCTGGCGCGAAGGCATTTCCTAACGTAAACTTTAATATCTGAAAACCTAGATAAGCTCCAATCGCCAAAAGCAGCAAGAAGTAGGGAAAACCCGCGGCTACGAAAGCTCGCTTTGCTGCGGTTACTATTAGAGCTTACCCAGATCATTCGCCTCGAAGGTCAGCTTATTATTTGAAGTGTTTATTCTACAAGAACAGCTGTCGGTCTGGGATCAAAGCAATCAATGGGGTCAACGCCAAGGATGCTTCATCTCAACGTCATTCATTCATTCATTCATTCATTCATTCGTTACTGTGCCACAAGATCTGCGTCGGCTCCAACGAGTGGGCTAATTCTTTGGATAGGGTCAACGTCAAGGATAACAGGATGCTTCATCTCAACGTCAAGATAAACTAGCACTAGAACTACTAGAACTAGTAGTCAAGCCTTAACACTAGAGGCACAAGGACCTGGGGTACTCCAGTGGTATCCAAGTCCCAGTCTAGGAAATCGTCGCTTGGGAACACTGCATCATTCCCGAACATCCAGATTCCTGCCAATGCATGCAACAACATGGCAATCGGAACGAAAGATAGAGTGCGCAGCTTAGAGCAGTAGGACGAGGGTTCGAAGTAGATGTAGAAGTACTACGACTACCCTGACACTGACTGTAACCACGAGGTTCTTAGAATAATGAGGTGGACCATGGAAGACCAAAGGACTGAATATCTTCTCAAAAGAGTAACGAGGTTCTTAGAATAACTTACTGACTTTGACAAGTACATCATTCCAAGTCACTCATCTACAGTGAAGATAGTGCATCTTGTACCTCGTAGAGTTCCAGTTACCATCATGTACAGGACGCCTACTAAGACCACAGCTCTGACGACCATAATATTGATCACTCCCGCATCATATGCCGGTGGTCGCTTGCTGCATGCCAACAACACGTATTTGTCACATACGTAGCACAAAACATGGTTGAAGAACGCAAAAAATATCAGAATTGGACAGCCAGCTGCAAAAAACATCGTCGAAAATATCGTGTTCAACAACGCCCCGCATCGCGGTGCCAGCTCAAATGGTGGTGGGTCGTACGCTGTCACCAAGCTATCTTCCGTATTCAAGCAACAAGAACCGCAAAAGCACGCTTTAAACTGGCCCACCCACGCGACGACGACTGAAATCACGTGAGGACTCAAGACGTTCACTGCCATGGTGGTCGAAACGGCGAGTCCGACAGTCGCATACCAATATTAGAGCCAGGTAGGGTTTTCGTGCTCGCTTACCCCGTTCGTTATGCCTTTCCCCCTTGAGAAAGGCAAAACGAACGGCAACAGGCACACCTTCAACCACTACCCGTAACAATAGTGAGAGAAATCTTCATGATGACCGCGAAGGAATTCGTCCATTGGTGGTTGGAATGCAAGATTCAAGATGAAAACGATCACTGCCGTGTTCAGGAATAAGGCGACGAAGACCTGTTGTGATTGTGATCATATTAATTGTGGATGATTATGATGTGCTTGATTGATTGATATGCCTGACAAGAGGTTGGTGTTTGAGAAACATGAAGAAATATAAATATAATCAGAATCATGATCATGCTGGTGTTTCAAGAACAAGTTCTGGTTCTTTACTGGACTTGTTGTGAGTAGAAACTGGAATTGCTTATTGTGAGTAGAACTAGAAGAATATGTTGGAAAAAATATACTAGGTTCTTCATCTACCTTCTTCGCAATCGCCTGCTCCAAGCCAGAAATAGTCAGTGGTCGCTCATAAGCCGCCAACGCCACTAGCAGCGTCTTCAACACGAAGTTGAGTCCGATGACCACGACTGAACTCGCCGCTGTGATTACCAGCGCGATATTTTGTTCATAAACGAAATCCGCGCACGCCTTTTTCAAGTCTCCATCTTGCAAGTTTGCGAGACCAATTTGAGCACACTGACAGTCCGTAAAATGGTTCTCCAATTTAGTTCCGTGTGGCAGACGGGATATGGAATTAGAAGAAGTATATATTTCAAGTTGTAAACCCAAGTGGTAAGCGATCTTATGCTCTACTTGTCCATCACGTTGACCTTCAGAAGAAGTTCCGGATAGTTCGCAAAACGCCCTGTGTTAATTATGCGCGTGGAGGTAGGTGGTGCATAGACGAGCGAAACTCCCTGTCACGACATCGGTACGTTGAAGTTGAAGTGTTCCCCTCATCAAGAACTTGAAATTCTATTGTTCTTGATGAAATTCCTCATTAAATTCTATTGTTCACACCTACATCAACATCTTCTACATCAAAGAACCAATCATAAAGTAAGCCAACGCGCTCTCCTTTTCCAGTGGTTCCTCTTCGGCTGGAAGGAGGTCAGGCACATACATCTCGTCAGGACATGACATGCCCTTAGCATCTTCAGCCATCTCTTGCTGGCTTTGCTGTGACCACAAGATGCCAGCTGTACTCACTGCTAGCAAAAGCAAAACGAGGACGCGGACGGTGCACTTCCGTCTGATGCGCTCGGTAGGGGTGCAGTCCTGTAGTGAAGGCTTTGAATGATGAGGTTTGAATGATCCTTTTGTAGAGAATAAACATTACTTCTGTCATCTAGAATAGCTTTGCATGCAACTCTAGAAGTCGTGGCGCCACAAGAAGAACGGCGTTGTTTCCTACTCATCAGACAGGAGAAGTATTCAAACAACAATACCTGATTCTCCCACAGGATATTGCTAGGTTCGGGTGCTGCTTGAACCGAAATTCGCTTACCTTCGAATCTGTGTCTTGAGGACTGGAATAAGTAGCCAAGCAAGGTTCCGCTAAGTCGATACGCATCTTCAAAGACGTCTTAGGAGTTAGAGCTTTCAAATGGTCGTGGCTTAATCGCATCTTTTTCTCTTTGAGGGGAGCTAGGGAGACAAGAAGAAACATTAAGGCATTGACAAAGGTGGAAAAACTAGAATTAGTAGGAAACTCTGAGTTAAAAACTACCAAAACAATCTCAATCATGCACAGGTAGCAGCCTTAATATCACTTTCTCTCTGGCAGCTGACATACGCGCGAAAAATTTTCCGGTCCTCCTCCTCTATGTGCTGTTTTTCATCTGCTTCGTCATACTGATGCAGCTTTTTTGCTTGTTTAGAAATTGCAGGACTCCACCTTGGTGAGCATCTTGGTGCCCCTCTTGTTCCCTACTTCAACACAAATACAAAGACCAAGATAAGTACTCGCGAGGAACAAGACAAGATTTAAGTTCCTCAAGCCTTAACTTGTGCTTCCAATTTCTTCAACGCCGCGTCGTCTTCATCGATTTTAGCCTCTACTATCTTCACCTGCATGGCCGCTTCCTGCATTTTCCGGTACAGCGATCCTTGGTAATCCCTGGCAAAATGCACTTCCGGAAAAACTTCTAGCAACTGCTTGTCATCGTATGGTCCCTCGTCTTCTGGAGGTTCTTCTCCTTCTTTAACTTCGACGCGTAACATCTTTTCATGCTGCAATACTTTGCCAAGGTGTCGACGTAAGGCCATGCCATAGTTCTCACTCGGAACGAGCTCGAAACCTGTGAGTGTGTAAGCTTGCTTCTAAGTATGCTTTCAAAAACAGTTCTTGGGTCATGCATGACGACGTATCAAAATTTTCACAGCTGTACAAGTAGATGATTCAAATCATAAAAAGTATAAATCAATACTCGGCAAATTCTCCACAATCAGCGTATAGCCTGCTGGCGTAATAGCGGCTTCGTCCACTCGTGCGACCTCCTTTCGGATCTTTATGTGCAAAAACCGCACTACATACATAAAGTACAGGAATTAGAACTCACTGCAATCCATTGCATCTTTTGCCTCATCTGCGTCCACTCTTCGACCTGAAAAACAGCTTACAGATGAGCCAAGAGATGGATTAAGTGAGGCCTTACAGGAAAGCTCCCGCTGCGCTCATTACGCTCAACCACGGCGTCACGTTTTTCGCAGTGAAGGTAAACCACCCCAAGAAATTCACCGTTCTGGTCGGTGATGATTCCAGAGTTTGACCGAAAGAGCCGAGAGAGAAAATCGCCAAGCCAGCAACACCTTGATCCTCATCCGCATTTGTGCCAGAAGGAGATGCACAACAAAGAAAGAGGAAGAGCATCAGCAAAGACCAAAGTCCGAAGTAGAAGGCACCACCACGGAGAAACATGAAATAAAGCTCGAGACCTGGTGTTTAGTGGGGCGGTTTTGAGATCGTTGAGATGGATAGGATAGGATAGGATAGGATAGGATAGGATAGGATAGGATAGGATAGGATAGGATAGGACAGGATACGATAGGATACGATCGATAGAATAGGATAGAATAGGATGCCTCGGCTTCGCTGCCACATGAAGTGACAACACCGCTCCGGCAGATCACCCCAAGGAGGACGTTCGGGGAAGGGTGTTACCGCCAAAGGAGGTAACACGAAATTCACAGCTCCTCACGAAAAGCAACTCTTTTTCCTCTAGCACTCTATCGGACTATTTTTAAGTTGTTCAAGTCGTACTTCTTAAGTAGTATACCAACGCTCTGTGTGACTTCGGCAATTTTTTCCACACTCGTCTCGTTCCATCTCATCAGCTGGTCTCCGTCAGTGATCATAGCCAGTTTGCCTTTCAGTCTCGCACGTTCGTGGGCTTTCCGTCGTTCTGCTCCATTCTTTATCGGTTTCCGATAATTCTCATCCCGCGAACTCATAATGAGCAATTCTTCACGCGTGAGCTCTGTGTACTTAGGTCCTGTAGGTAGGGCATTGTCGGGTAAAGCTGTGCCATCTACGACCGCCCCTTTCTGTTCGGGAGGCTCTGCCACTGCACCCTGTGCTGTCTTACTTTCGACTTGTTCTCCTCCTTCTCGTGTAGTTGAACCGCCTACGGATGCTCCTTCTCCTGCTAGACCAGACTCTCCTGAGGCTCCCGCTTGATGGGCACCCTCACTTGGTGCTGGTTCCGGTTCTAGAAGAGATTCACCAGGCATGGAACCAGACTGAGGTTGTCCATAACTGGACGGGTCACCATCTATGAAGGGCATCCTGCTGCTTGTGGTTTCTAATGTATCCTATACGAAAGTGCGAAAATATCCGAATCATCAGGGCGGCGATCTGCACTAGCACTACAAGGGGGTCTTCTCTTCCGTTAAGGGGTTCTTCTCTTCCAATCCCGGTGGGGGTGGCTAAGGATTCCTTTTCGATTTGCACGAGGGGTCTCTCTTTTCCGATTGATACAGAATCCGCCAATCGATACAACCGAGAATTATGGTATGCGTTTTCTACCTGCACTTTTGATCACAGAGCCGCCACATTGACGTTGCTTACAGAATTGATACAGATGCGAAATCCACAATGAACAGCGTTTGTCACAGATCCGTTGACAAAGCAACGAACGAGTCCCTCTGGCATATAGCGTATTCCGTCCTCTTGATAGAACACACGCGTTTAGTGACAGCCAGTGGGAGTTTTTCGGCTCTTCGATAGATATCGCTGGCTATCTGTACAGTCGCACACGTACGAGGTCTCGCAACTACACACTATGCAATAGTCCTTCATGCGAAAAATCACTCTGTGTGATGAATGAGTCGGCACTTCGTAGACTTGCGAAACAAATGAGCAAAATATGCATGATTGATGTTGCTGCGGACGAATTCTCGACTAGGAGCTTAATCACACTGGCGCTTCATAACTGCCTATAATCCTCGCATATCTGCGTGACTCCTAGTATAGCTTCCGCTAAGGGCGCCTCGTCGAAAAAGTGCACATAACAGCGTGCGCGCGAAAGTCCTGCTGCCTTATGCACTGCACTCTCAAAGGCTGCTAAAGGCGTTTGACAATTCGTTGCCAAGGAGACACGGTTGGCAGAGAGACTGGGCTGTGACGATGTGGAACCGGGTGTGGAGGTGTGACTCTTAGAGGAAAAGGACAAGAAACCGGCTGAGAGATCGATTGTATAAGTACTTAGTTTGTTGAGTTTGTGTGCGTGAAAAAGAGTGACGGAAATCCAGCCCAGGATGCCTTATTGGACTGCTACGGGCACAGCGATGCTTTACGGACGTTTGTGGATCGCTCACTAGAATCCCTATCACATCAATGACCATCATAATGTAGTAATCCTGCACGACGCTCAGCGATGGCGCTCCTGAAGCTGCTAATATCCTGCTTTTGGGAGAAAAGGTCAGACCTGAAGCAAATATCCCCGCTACCTCGTCTAGTGGTGGCGTATGGTCCTCAGCTGCCGCTTGGCTTGCAGGAGTGGGCCTCTGCCGCGGCCCCGGTCCGTAGCAAGTCACAGCTGCCGCCAACACGCGATTACGCTCACCGGCCAGAGGGGCGTAGAAATCTTCCACAGTCTTGGTTGTGCAGATGTGGCTCAATCGCTTGCTCAGGGCAGCCCAACTATCATTACCGCCTAAGTCAGAGAAACTACCCCTACCGAAAAGTCTCCTTTTGCTGTGGTCGTCGAGTACAGGAAGATGTCGTAGAGTAACCAGCTTGTAAGAGGGATGAGCTCCTAAGGAGCAGAGCATATCCGGGATGCGACTGCGCGCTACGCTAAGTTCAAACACACTAGACAACCGCGGCTCCAGTTCTCGGAACATGGCAGTCTTCGGATCCGAAGTGGTCTCCAAACGGCGAACGGCTAAGACTGGGAGCATTGCAGCGTGGAGCAGAGTGTTCACGATGGGAGGTTAGAACAGAGTAAACAACGAACTGCCAAGTGCCATTAGAGCATGATAAAGATGATAGATTCTCTTATAATGCAAATACCATCGTCGGTCAACTAACTATAAGTACTTTGAATATGAATCTTCCACACAACTCGTATTCATCACCGAAAACTCTTCGCTACGAGCTTCTTCAGCTGCTCCTAGTCGTTTTCCGTCCCGTCTCCTGTTCTCAAACGGAAACACGAGGTCTGCATGTTCGTACACTGCGTGCAACGCCAGACAGGCATTGAAACTTTGCACAGCGACTTCCCCCGATCGAAAGGGAAGGACACAACACGCGAGTATCGGTGTGGAGGATGAAAGACGGATGAGACAGGGAAAAGGTAGGACCTCAGTCATCTTTCTATCAAATACAAATCTTTTTTCCGCCATACCTTCGGATACAATTCGCGCAATACCGTTATCGCGAAACTCCCTAAGCCGCTCCCCGTTCCACCAGCGAGACTGAAAAACACTAGAAAACCAGCCAACTGGTCATGACATCTGTCCACTTCCGCTTGCACCAAGAGTTCTAGTTCCTCACTGAGAGAGTCACGTCCCTGTCTGTAGCCATGAGTCCAGTTGTTCCCTGCTCCACTAGCACGCCACTTCGCACCTCTGGCGTCAAAGCGATAACCCTGCGATCGTGAAGGGGAGATCAGCTTTCCGACTACACGAGGCTCCAAGTCGACAAGCACAGAACGGGCAAAGGGTAAAGGTCTACTTGCAGTATTAAAAGAGCTTGAGGAGGATGAGGAGCATCCTGACTGTAGGTTTTTTAGCTGTTCTGTAGCTGAGCAGATCGTTGTAGTTGGCCATCGGAAGAACATCCGAGCCACTGCATCGTCTTCTCTTAGGGGTATCTTGGCAGCAAGCTCATCGAAAAAAGTGGAACCTACCTGATTCCCACATTGCCCAAGTTGGACAGTGACCAGAGACATGGTTTTTTCTTAATATGGATCTAGATCTACTTATGTAGTTGCCCACTTGAAATTATTTTTGTACAATGTCGCACATAAAGTAAAAGCCCAGCGTTGTGCTATCAAAAAACTAGACTCGTCTAAGTACGGTCAACAATGTTGTAGCTTGAAGATGTCACACGATCATTCAAAAAACTGGATAGTTATAATCTCTGAGATCTCTGTTAAGCTAGCCTTTAGCTAGCACCATTGTCTAGATCTAGATCATCTTTCCCCAAAACGAGAGAATTCAGAATGTTGTCTTCCAGAGGACGAACAGGCAAGAGCGCTCCTTCAACAAAGCCACCCCCGGGTGGATCAAAGTAATTCCGTTCTTGCAAAAGTTCAAAAACGGCCCATCACGGTAAGTTGTTCAGTTCAGCAAAGCATCTGCCAGTACATTAAATGGAATCCTTTCAACCTTCTTCTTTTCCTTCCCATCGTCCTCTGCACCAAGAATACTTCCATTCACATCAGATCCACCTTCTGCATCTGAGGTTCCTGCAAACGCTGCTCCTGTGGGTGCATCTTCCTCTTCGCTGTATCCCAAACTCTCCAAAAAAGCTGCCGTTTGTTTCGGCGGTAGCTTTTCGCCTAAATGTAGCATGATGTAGCGGAGGACCTCTTTGCTAACCGTATCTTTATCATCAAGGAAAACCCGGAAGCGGTCTCGCAGTCGTTCTCGGGAAAAGACGCCATCACGGAAATTCTTTAAGATAGAGTCCCGTAGAAGTTGCTGAAAAGCGGTGATTAGAAATTTAAGAAAGAGGATCCATCGGGTTCACTTGACGACCTACAGAATTTGATCTCTATCTCACTACCAAGTCACAAATCAAAATCCAATCCCTTTTCCGGCACTACGCCTGCATCGATAAGACGTTGAAGCTCGCTGTTGGTATTAGAGTCTGCGACATTGCATTCTTCAGATCATCCCTGACCCGTTTCCTACTGGGAAAAAAGTCAAGGATGGTAGTGAACGAGAATGCAAAAATGCGGTAACCCTTAATGGTAATGAGTGCGCCAGCTGCCTGCAGTGCAGCGGCAGCCTCCCTTGGTCCTATCACGCCCTTGCCGGTCTTGTCGTAGTACATGAAAACCAACTTGTCACGCGCCGCGCGGGACGGAAACTCAACGTACGGGAAGAGAGGCATATTGATGTTGTCGGTTTGAGACGTTTATGTAGTTACTTATGTGTTTATTTATCGTTCGTTGTTCTAGTAAACTGAATTCTCTGAATCAATGTTGACTCGATCTTCTAGGTTTGCGAATATTTTGTTGTTGATGCTACCGTGAAGATCTAAAATTCAGTCGTCTTTTCTCGCTTTGCATCAAAAATACTCAGAGTTTAAGACACCTCTTGAGTGAGAATTACAGTTGTAGACGCGGCGCATCGTCTGTAGTAGAACAGCCTCTGCAAATGAGCATAGAAATTGGTGAGCTGCACCTTTTCGGGTCGGTCATATCCCCTATCGGAGAAAACCGTGATGGGTTAGCAGAAACTACTACAACTTCGTTAGATATCAAAGAAAAACAGTGCCAAGATTATAAAGAACTGAAAGACATCAGAAGCAAACATCGCATTTCCGTGTACTTGCATTTTCGCTTGTTTCGTTCTGTGAATTACAACTGCGTTGTATTTGGATTATTTACTCGTTTAAGTTTAACAGGCTCACTGCAATGATTAATAGACGAAAAGTGAGTGGCTGGTGCACTACCTTGATTGGTTTCGTATAAGTGTTGGTTGTATTTCGCGGCATCAAACAAAGATAGACTATCTGGAGTACTCTGTTCAACGTCAAGTTCAGAGGCTTTCAAAACGACAGGACTCATAACTCTAAAAAGACTGGACTACACCATTCTTTCACGACGACTGTTCAAAGACGAAGAAGATACTTGTACTTCGCAGAGGACTATGTGCTCAACAGTTGCAGCACAACATCAAAGCCAAAGCACAACACCAAAGCGTAGACTACGGCTTCAACGCAACATTGCGGATGAATTGTTCTAACTTTTGTGATTTCTCCTCCAGTTGGGTTTTCTCCTGATACATCTTCCGGAGCTCAACCCTTGCACTGTCTGCATCGATAGAGAGCGCTTTTTTCTCGTGCTCCAGGATCTTGATTTTCTCCTGCGCTGCAAGGAGTTTCGGAGATTAGAAGAGGGGGCTGGGTACGTACTACAAAAAGAGAGAAGATGGAGTCTTTAGATGTAGAAGTCCTCGTTGAGGTTAATGTGAGTCAGATGTAGAAGTCGTCGCTGTTCAACAACAAAAGTTGAAAGTCATAATCTCCATCCTCACTGTCCATGGCCATTCTTGGTCCGTCTGACCTACTCGCTGCCGCACCGTCTCCACCGCCACCTGCACCGTCCGATAATTGGTTCATCTTGTGCATGGTCTTGTCGATGGTCACTCGCAAAGCGCTATTTCGCAGCTCCAATTTCTCAATCATTCGCGTCTGCTCCGCTTCTCTCTGCAGGGATTCCGCTAATTTATTCTCTTTAGAGGTTGTGACATTGCACTCTGCGGAACATCCTTCACTTCTTTTCCAGAGAATGAAAAAAGGTGAAGGATGTTGGCTGAGGATGTAATGTGGTCTCCACCCTTAATCTCTGCTATCACTTTCTGCTGTTTCATGTCGTCCATATCACGAGTGACCCCACGAAACATCGCCTCTAGTCGTTTCTTGTAGTCTCGAACGAGCTCCTCTTTCTCCTTGATAAGAAGCTTACACTGTTCTTCCTTCTCCACTATGTCTTGCTGTGCTTTGGAGACAGCTGCTCTTGCGGCCATTCTTTGTTCTTGCCATGATAGTTGGACGTCGCGGAACCTTTCTAGCTGGCGAGCAAGAACAGAGAGCATCGTACAACGATTCGTGCGCTCGGTTTGGTACCTGGTGGTGGGGGTGATGGCGTTGCTGTGAGGTGGAGGTAGACATGGAGATGTTGACATCGTGACTGTTATTTTTGATGGTATCTTAATAATGATCTTCAAGAGCTATATAGTACCTTGACAAAACTTGCGCTGCCAAAACATGCGTTGACATAACTGCATCTGTTGAATCGACACCCCAATGCTGGCCTAGTCTTGCGCCGGCAACATGGGTGTTCGCACTAAGTTTCGACGGGCCGGCCGATCGTGCTCTTGCTGGTGCTGCTTTACCTGGTGTCGTATTGTGGAATTGATGACGACCATCCAAAAGACTACCTTTTCTCTTTAGTCAACGAGGAATTCAAAGCAGCAGAAACCGAAAACAGCAACAAAAGCATTATCTGTGTTCGAACAATACTTGTGCTCCCGCTCGCGGCACTCGTTCCGACTGCGGCTAGTGGCTTTATTGCGGCCTCTGCGCCTTCACGTGCCGCCTTCTTGGTCTTCTGCCACTGCTCTACTGCGCCATCGGTTTCTTTTAGCTCTATTTTGAGATCTGCCTGCTCCTTAAATTGCGGAAAAGCGGTCTGCTTATGAACTTGACTCGTCCACAAGGGAGTGTATTCACCTAGGAGTGGTGAGGTTTCTTGACATGATGTGTGAGCTAATTCATTAGCGATTCTGGCAAATAAAAAATAGAATGAACATCTTCAAGAACATTGAAACTCATCCTTTTTCAAATCGAATAGCAATAATACCATCTTCCCTCAGCCACAACTGTACTCTCGGATTGCAAGGCATGGCAAACTGGCCGTGACTCAGCAGTAGCCGCAATTCGTTCTGAAACGGTTCCCCGTTTCCTTGCCATTTCAGTTCTAGTGTCACAGAACTATCGTTCATAAACCGAGTTTTCTTGCCGTCGAAAGTTAGAAGATGGGGATGAGAAACAAGAACTGTGTGATTGAGTGCATCATGAACTTGAACAAGGGAATAACAATAAGCGTATGATCATGCCCATTCTCATTCCTTTATATTATATACTAACTAACTAACTAACTAACTAACTAACTAACTAACTAACTAACTAACTAACTAACTAACTAACTAACTAACTAACTAACTAACTAACTAACTAACTAACTAACTAACTAACTAACTAACTAACTAACTAACTAACTAACTAACTAACTAACTAACTAACTGCTCTGTTATAAAACTCCGCAATACCGTTTTTCATAACATCCTCGTTGTTTTCGAATCTGGTTTCCCTATCCTATAGCTCTTTGGCCCCTTCACGCTGTCCAAGTCTGACAGTTTCGGCAGCATGATTTCGCCTAGATAGTCCTCCTCTGACCAGACTTCTAATAGCAGTTCAGGTTCGTCCCCCTTTCTCTTATTCCCAACTATTCGGTCTATCAACTCGTCAGCTTCTCGTTCACCGACCTTCTTCTTTCTCCTTTCCTCATGCAGAGTTGAGTGCGCTTTGGTCGTGTTCGGGTCGAAACGAAATCTGAATGCGCATGTGGGAAGGTGTTCTTTTTGCATTTGTAGTTACAGCGACGAGGAGTTGCATTTTCTTATAAATACGGGATGGAATTTTGCCCAGTTCAGTATTCCGAAACTGTCGACGAGACTACTTATTTAATTCTTGTAAATATCTACGAGGAAAAATACGTAGAATCAGGACAAGCATTTCATCCAAGAATGTTGATAACCAGCATAAAAACTGCCACCAGGAATAACATGAAAACTACAAATTCAAGTTCCTTCGAACTACTTTGTGAACAAGAACATCAACTAGAAATGAATTACTCAGGCAACGTAATCCCCTTCACCCTATCTGTTGGAAAAGGGTAGGCTTTGCTCGGCTGCTGTCGTTGCTGGAGCTTTTTGCCCGGGTCTTGAGGCACCATGTTGCCCTCTTTGTACACCGTTGCCGACCACACGCCATGGAGAACTATCTTGTTGTCTTTGTCGACCAGGAACTCCGCGATAAAACCGTCCAACGCAATCTCAAAATTTCGTCTCACGAAGCGGACTAGGGCTAGAGTCTTGCTCTCGATCAATTGTCGTCGATTCGGCGCAATCGTTTGACATCGGTTAGAGGAGGATGTGGGTGGGAGAGAAAAAAAATCGAGATCATCAATTCGTTGAGCAAGAGCAAGTAAAACAAGATAAGTATGATAACAATGTTGAGGAGCCGAGGAAGAGACCAAAGACTAAATATTTCATTAAACAAAGGATCTCGCAGAGCCTAAAAAACTTCAACTAAAGGAATAACGAAGTGAAAGAGAAATAAAAGAACAAGTGCAGCAATTATCGAATTCGTGTTCGTCTGTACAAGGACATAAATTTATCAGCCTCCACGTCTCCTGGTGTCTGTATTTCTATCGGTTTGTTCTGTTCTATCGGGTAGACCTTCTCGAATGTTCGTCCAAATATGTCGGACCTCTCTTCTCCCATGAGGTCGCAGCTATAAACGGACACCACTCTCTGATCCTCAAAAGGCTCCACAATAGCTTGGATGGAAAAGACCTGTGTCCTGTGCGTTTGATAGACGGAATGGAAGGCTCGTCTAAGGCACACTATCTGAATGAAAAACGTAAACGTCTGCTCTGACAAGGGATTAATAAATGGCATTTTTATCCAAATCAGATAATCTTGTAGACCTTAGACAAAGTCATGTCATGTCATGGAGCCTCTTTTTACGTTATCCGAACGTTTTTTGAAAGAACGAACTCTAGTAATATCCCTTTAGACAAGCTTGTTGACTCGTTTTTAAATCAAAGATCTAGTAAGTAAAAATAACGAACAGTTGTAGTAGTACATCGCAATCATCGAATGATCGGTTTTTGACGCTGTCGATGACCTGCGAGACCTCGCCAGCAGTCAGAATGACTGCTACCGGACATCCCTCTTTGTCCTGGCTTCCAGCGACCGGCGCGACTTTACGTAATATCGCTGCTGGCGTATGCGTCCCAAATGGTAGGTTTTTGGCGCGGTGTCGTTCCTGATAGTTATGAAAAGGGAAACTGATGGAACCTTGCCTAACATCCATGTATTGTTTCATCGTCGGTCGCAAGCCTCAAAAGCAAGACTCAGGGACAAGTTGAAAGAAGTGAGACAGTGAAAGTACCTATTGTTTGCGAATAGGGTTACGAGCGACCTCCGAACTATCGAGGAAAATTACAGTGTAAGTACCTATCTCTGTTACAATGTTACAACGAACTAGGCATGAGCGAATATTATGCGTCACCAATACCTCCGCCACCTGCAGTACTCTTTGCAAAAATTGGTCGATCGTCCCATTTTGCTTTTTCGCTAACAGACCTGTTTTCGTCGTATGCCACCAGCCATCAAAGTGATGCCTCTTCGTGAAAACAGCTACATCCGGAATCCGCTGTTTGAGGCTGACGGTGTCGGAAGCCAAAAACTTCCAGAACTCTACCTCTAAGGCAGAGGCCTTAGCGGGCGCCATGATTTTTCTTTTCGGTAATAGTAATTACAAGCAATGAGATGGAGAGGCTCCTAACTGAGGAAACAGTTGTTATTTGAGAAGCCTTGAATCGCAACTGTGGTATACACACTCTACCGAAATTTCATGTTACTTTCCCTGTTCGCTAGAGAACTACCAGAGGGGAAGGTAGTTCTTACCTAGCCTACTTCTGCGGCTACTTGTTGTGAGTTGACTAGTTCATCATGTTACCTTCGCTATAATGAGAGAACAAAGGCGACGAGAGGACATTAGAGGTGAAGCGAGTGCGAGAGGCTACTTTGTTTTGCTTCCTTTTGCTATTTTTTTTTGGCTCGTGAATGAGACTGTATTAATTAACTTTTTTCTTCGGGGCTGTTGCTTGACACATAAAACTTTCAGAAGGAGGGCGCTACGGGCCAGACACCACAACAGAGTTACAACTCTAATTTTGCATTCTCTCACTGCTCTTACTCTTTCTTATTCCTAAGACATGTCGATAAGAATCACGTCGAGGACAGAGAAAGTCTTAGAGAGTGACAGATTCGGTCTTGCAGCAACTGTATTATGGCATCCGCGCAGCAACTACAAGTACAAAATGGGCTCGTACTAATATGTGTAGAGACAGATATTGATGATAGATTTGTTTCACTTTTTTTTAATATCCATGAAAAGTTCTCAGCTGCTTCATCATCCTACTACTTGAGAGCTAGCATGCATGTAAAAATGTAAGTAGAGTGGCTCCTCACAGACACCACTGGAAAACTACTTATGTCAAACACAGAAACCCTACTTTGCTAGTGTCAAAACAAAGACGTAAGAGTTCCTTATTATCAAGACACAACACACGAGAAACAATACGAGCAGTCGGCTATATTCTCAGAAAATGGAAGATGAGGATGAAATTATAGATCGTGTTACCAGCAGCTTCTGTTTTCTTACAAGAATGAACAATGAAGATCAATGAAATTCGACTGAAGTATTATGTTGTACATCATAATGAGTTTCGCTTTATTCTCGACCGAGAGAATAAAAATATGCTCTACTTCTTGTTTCATACAAGAAAACTTGATACTTCTTCCAGTGGAGCCCTAACAAGAATACTACAAACAAACTTGTAATAGACCATACTAAGCCGGCCTAGGCTTGAGTCTATCTTAGACCCTCTCAGTATGTCTTACGTGATGTCACCGAGGTAACATATACCAAACCTGCATGAGGAAAGAGAATGGATATCATGCAGTCCTTGTTACGTCTTGGGTCGTGCTTGTTGTGTTGTTCTTGTTCTGTCTTGGTCGTTCTTCCTTCTTGTGCTTACTTACGTAG